CTTCTAGCCAATTTTCAAGCAAATGAAAACTTATTTCACGGCAAAAGATAACGCTGACAGAGTGTTTGTGTTCCAGCGTGAAAATCTCCAGTGATATTTACTGTTGACACAGACTCGTTTTCACTTTGAATTTGGATTTAGGATTGAAATTTTCCCTCCCTTTAAAGTGTACAAACACGAGACCTTTGTCTGTCCCCTTTGAATTAATTGAAGATCTCTCCCGAGACGGGAAATCACTAAACATTCACCATAACCTTGACTGAGCTGCGTGTGTGTTCAGTGTTTGGGGAAAATAGAGCTGATGGGCCAACAGAATGGATGTGAATTTTGGATGCCTGCCTAAATATGGTCACCCTCAATAATCAGTCCATCTATTTATTATTAATCACACTGTGTTGACAATAATTCCCTCTGAACCCACCGCGTTGCCCTCAGTGACTCAGTGACCTTTGTGTGCAATCCAAAATCAATTTACCTAATGAACTCGCTCATGCCGCCAGAGAAATCCAGCGTCAGGTCGTCGACGGTGAAAAATCCCCCTCAAGGTGCGTGCAGAAATTCACAGAGCCCCTGGCAATCTCCCCCCCCCCCCGCCGAACGGAGGGGTGGGAGAGGAAGCATCAATTAAGCGTAATTAAACTAATTTTTCTGTCACCCTTCCTTTCCGACGCTTTATCCTCAAGTGGCGGGAATTGCTGTTCCGGTTCCGTTTTGATTGATTGATGCGACGACTATTTGTACCTTGTGGCTGGGAATCATTAATTTTTTCCACGGCACAGTTTGTGAGGGAGAAAACACCCCTCTTCACCTGCCTTCCCGGGCTTTCATCTCGCTTCCCAAGCCCTCCGTCATACGCCAAAATACCCTTCGCCTTTCGCGGTCACGGCACTGCTTTTCCTTCACACCTCTAATTCACTTTCCACCCTGACTTATGTATACAGTGGTGACAAAACTAATAATAATCATTGTAGAGCTGCTATGTCGAAATAATATCCTGCAACAATTCCCAGGGAATTTCAAATACTCTTGTGCTTCCTAAATTTGCTGTGATGAGAGACAAGTTGTGAAAAGTCTTTCAAAGGGAAAATTCTGCCCGAATTTATGTATGATATATCCATTGAATTGATTTAACTGAATCTGTTTGTATAGAGTTAAACTCAGGATTGTGAAAATTGAAAAATTTATCTGTAAACTAAATGAAAGAGAGAAGATTGTTGTGTTTTAATTATAAAAACATTTGAGAATAGGTTATACCACAACTTTGAATATATAATGAAGATCACGATTAACAAAATTAAATTAATTCAATGAATAAAATTAGAATTAATAATTATTTTTTCACACAACATATTTCGCTCTGTCTATAAATTAAATCATTCGCGCTGTACCTTCTGAGAAGCACGAAGAGATTTAAATAATGCTGATAGCATAATTGAAAGTGTATCATTTTCACTCTAGTCTGTCGCCTTGTTATTATTCAGAAATTGCATATTTTTGAATAAAATGTGTCTTGAGCATAATAATGGCAATCACATTATGTAAATTGCTCTGGTTTTAATCAAGACTTATGATTCTCTTTCTTTGCGGAGTGCATTTAAAACTATTTTTTAATTCCAGAAGCTAGTTGTGAATTTACAGAGTTCACTGTGCAGTTTCAAATGCACTTCTTGGTCTGTGGAAAACTTTTCCCGGTCCAATTCTCAAAGGAGAGCCGCAACGCGGAAAGACTTTTCGAATTTGGCTCTGAAGCACCATGAGAGACATTGTAGGGTGTTGGAGAATTCCGGTGGCCTCGAACCGGACTCTTTCTCCCAGCGAATCGATATTCTTGTCGTCTTACTTTAGTCAAGCCAAAGGGGTGGCAATTTTTTTGTGCTCCCCGAAGGCAAAACTCGCCCCATGAGCTTTTCGGAGCGGTAATTTAAAGTCAATTAAAACACTAAGTCCAGAACGCCAATTTGTGCTGCGGGAGAGGCGAAGAATGCCAAATGAAGGGTCCGCCCGGCGATGGCAAAAGAGTTATGACGCGGAGGAAGATGGCAAAAATGGGTGTCAAGTCCAATTTGAGAGTCATCTGCATTCACACGGAGTTCGTCTCTTCAGTCCCGCTCACACTTCCTCTGTCAAATGAATAGTTAATTTAGTCCTCTCGTGTTGGTGGCAAAAATGGGCCGCCCGAGAAATGGGACAATGCTTCACTGTCGCCTTGCTCGCCCACTTTTAATTGCCATTTTAATTGTTCTCGCTGTTTGCCCGTGAATTGATCGAAATTGATTTTTGCACAAGCGTCCAGTGCCTCAGTTTTGCAATCCTTGGCAGAATTCTTCATTTCCTGCCAACAATGAGTAATCTCCACAGATTACCGGAGAGCTTTCGTGGCCATTTCATGTCCCTTGCATCCCACTCTGCATAGTTTGAAAATCATGAGATTTTTTCTCCCACTCCGCATCGGCTTTATTTTGCTCGAGAATTGTTTCCATGCCATGTGATAATGGAAAAAGCCCAGAGAGTTGACTGGGACAGGTGGAAAAGCCATGCAATGGCAGGAGCGAGGGTAGTGAGATAAAATATTGTAATAACTCCTGCAAAATTATCCCTCTCCATTCACCTTGCATCAAGGGATTGGCCGCTCCTTTTTTGCTGTAGATGCACACAGAGAGTCCGTGCGGAAGCTGTTAGGGATGACGCAGAAGTGTCCCTCCAAGGGTTTGCAATCACAGAGACAATCAGTGGCATAATTATTTTAACATGTGTGACACACAAGCGAGTTGACTTTTTGCCCATCGCTCGTGCACAAGAGAGCAAAATGGGAAAACATACGCGACACACAGAGAGGATTTCGTCCTGCATTCACGTATTGGGTCATTTCGTCCCGGATAAAAACATCCAACGTTCAGAGAGCATTCGCAAGCACTCAGCACTTTTCCAAGGGAACACCGAGGGGCATGTCACTCTGTGCGGCGAATGTCTTCTTTCATATGCATTCAGCGGGGCCAAAAGTATTCAGTTTCTGAATTTCTTCATGTATTGTAGTGCGACTTTATTGTATTAAGACACTCCTTATTGCAATCTTTTGATGGACAGCATTATTAGTTGGGCAATTTTCTTCACTTTCACTGAACATCTGCCGCACCGTTGTTTACCCTCTGAACTCCTGAAGAAGTTGAGACCTCAGTAGTGGATGAAAATGCAAAATTAGCATTCATTAGTCAAAAGCAGCGTGAAATGTATGCATTCCTGGAGTAAGATTGAGTCTCTTGTGGTTGTGAGATCCTCTCCTGACTGCTATCACAATTACACATATTTCTTCGGCGGTCGAGATGCTTTTTCCACTCTGTGGCGCCCTGACGTGAATGTATGAGGTCATGTCCGACATGCACGTTCTCCCGAGGGTGAAGATCATCCGACGCTGATTGGGAAAGAATGGGGGATTGTTAAGAAAGTGGCGGGTGAATTGCCAGTGCACTGGACGATTTATTGACGCGCCCCGGGGGATGCATCGATGACAAACACGATTTTCCACCCTCATCAATAATTCATAGGAGCGCGACAGTGCACTGCCGAGCGCCACGTCTCTAAACCTAATAACCGGCCCTTCACTCGTGTCACACCCGCTCAATCGCCCGCCGAGGGTGGATTTCCCATGACCATTCGCCAGGTGCACGCTGAACACGGTGTGACTCCGTCGCTCCGGATCGCACTGATCGATCAGTGGCTTCACACAGAACTCTGGTCACCTACAAGGAGCTGGAGAATCATGAATTTTCAATCACGCAAAACTGTCAGAAATAAACACTGTAATGTGTCCCGGAATAGGTTTGCAGAAAAGCACTCTGTCAGTTTTTGTGAATATTTCACACTCCACTCACTATAATGTATTCAATAGTTTGGGTGAATATTAAAAGCAGTTGTGCGGCAACAGATTCTCTGGAAAACTTAAAATCCTCTGCATTTTTAACACTAATGGATTGACCTGGATAAACTCATTCGTGTGCTGTCTTCGAGCAATGGCAATGATCACAGGTTGGCAATTGATTTGGTTGACGGCGAAACCTCGACGTCTTGAGTGGCGGTTGTGGAGTGATATATTTTTAGCGTGCAATGGGATAAATACCCAATTAGCATGTTCAGCGTAATTATTATGTCGTCACATTAATGATGCCATGAAACTGTATAATAATGTAATGTGTTTTCATGACTCGACGTCCAACCCTCAAAATACACACAATATTATCGCAAATTATTATCAAAATAGCCATATTGGAGTTTACTCGCCGGACGAAAAATTCGACTGGGCGGATATTTTCCGCGGGGTGAATTTTTCTCACACCCTCGCGCGGGAAAGTGAGAGAAAAATCAGTAGAATGAAACAAACATCATCAATATTCTCCAACAATTGTTGAATTATCGTGTAAAATGAAATTATTTCCACTCATAATATTGGTGCACACTTTTAACCAACCGCTCACAAAATTTCCTATTAGTTCCATACACACAAGTGTTTTCCGAATGTGCAGAAAAAGCCTGGTTTGCATGGAAGAAAATTATTTGTTTTTAATCAGTGGTAAAAATAAGGCTCTTCTGTTCACTTATTTGGCAAACACAAACATACTTTCACCCCGTGAAATATTAATCAAAATTTAATACTCTCTTATTCTGGGATTTTCCCAGAAAATGTTGGCCAAGTGATTTTTGATGTGAGGCTAAATCAGAAGTTCGAATCTCCACTTTTACCTCTTGCGGTGGGTGCAATAAAAAATTCACCAGATGCACTTCGAGGGAGGCGAATATTTTTTCCCCTCGCCGCCGGTATGAATAATTGAGGTGGATTTTGGGGTGCGCGGAGCAAATTGAACGGGCAAGGGTAGTTGCAAATAGTGTGAAAATTTAATTCTGCTCAGACGATTTGCAATAACTCAGAGTCGAGAGTGGTCATAAAATATATTTAATGGCGTATAAATAAGATAGAATGAAAAGGTAACAAAAAAAATCCATTGCAGGCGCCGCGATGGAACTCTAGCGGTGGAGAACTTCCAGCAGATTTTGCACTGCAACTCACTGACCATCTCAAGGCAGAGTTTCGTGGGTGAAGGACTCTTTGATGACCAGGCGCGCCTGGTGACGAACACAAGTGCTCAACCTGGACAAGAGTGAGTGTTTGCGGGGGAAGAGATGGCTCTCAATCCGACGGCGATGGTGAGAGGAAGCGCTTGGATGAGCGCAGCAGTGAAGTTCATCGTGATTCTCAACGTCGTGGTGCAGATCAAGACTGGTGAGTGAACTTTCCTCCTCGAAATTAAATTTATACATTCAGCATTTGACCCTTGCTGACTATTTTTGAAACAGCCACAGGGAGAGAGGGAATCTCTTATGGCACACGAGATATTTATGAACAGAAACTGTTTTGAAGAACATGCCTGAGAAGAATGAAGTATAAAAGCTTCTTAATCATATTCCAGCTTTACAATATTGGGTTTGATATAAACTTCCCACGTTTGGTGTGCTAATAAAGCATAAACACATCAGCAAAACATGAAGTGGGCGGAGCAATCGCGTGGGTGGAGCATCTGAGAATGCCGAGTTAATAGACGAGCGAGTTACATTCAATTTAATAAAGAAAATACGCCCTGCTCTCTCCTATTATATTTTTAAAGTCCCTGTATTTTAACCGAGTAGCAGAAATTTAAAACAAACTTCAGGCAGAAAATAGTAAAACGTCTCTGGAGGCATTTCTGTGCCCACCATTGAAATTTAAATTGATCGTGTACATTTCTATGGAGCACCACATGAAAATTCCACTCCATGTCTCCAGCAGTCTTGTTCTCCGGGGTGAAGAAAGAATGTGAATAATTGTGGAATTTTCATGTCAATAGATACACGGCTGCGTATTGTGGAGGAAGCTCTTTTAACAATCCAACAAATGTAAATTAATTACGGGGATTTCCAAGGCGGGGGTGGCTCAGCATCAATTTACGTTTTACTCGACATGCCAGAGGGCACTCTTAGGAAAAATAAATTAAATTGCGCTGCTGAGGTGGGATTTTGGTCTGAGGTAGCGCTGAGAAGGTGAACATAGTATCATGAGAGTTGAGCCGTGCGGTTTTTGAAGGAAGCGCAAGTCAATGATCTTCAGATCTCTCTTTGTCTCCTCGTGGGGTTGGAATACATTTTTTAGTGCTTTCCAAACTCGAGCATCTCCACTGTGTTTTGTGTCCCACGTGCTCGTGGTGACCTGGTGAACTGTATGGGATTTCCTGGTGGGTGGCATGACTTTCATCTCTCCTGTTTTTCCCTCGGCTTGCCAACTCTCTGTGCTGTGTTCGTCTTGTCGAGGGAGAGGACGACACTCTGCTGAACACATTTTTCGTGGACCTTTTTTGTGTGCATCTCCCACTACCGTCGCAGTGTCACTAACTCTGTTGTTGCCTCTGTTGGTACTTCTTGGTGTCATATAAAACACTCCGCACGATATCTCTCCGTGCAGAGCTGGAGCCGCACACAAATCGTCCACGAGACGCTCAAGTGGTGGATGGCAAAAGTCGCATAACCTATTAAGGATTCACTTGCGAAATGGCTTCACAGTGGGCGGAACGTGGGTGAGCACGAACATCTAATCCGCATCTTTTTCAGACTCTTCAGACGCCCTGAAAAATGCACTGCCAAGCGCCACGTAGATTTCCACTGACCAGATGAGAGCAATTTTCGCTCGCAGAGAAATTTCATCTTCAACTCCGTGAAGAACAATTATTTAGATTTAATGACAATGTGAAGGGTTGGAGAGATTCTTCATTACATCATTAAAATTCCAGGGTGGATTTTCACCCTTCAACGTTGGAATTCTTTCAACAACGGAGAAAGTTTATTTTTCATGAAATTTATTTGGGGTTTTTCCTAAGAAATCAATTGTGTTCACGTAGAAAAACAGAAGGAATTGATGTGAAAATGGAGCAGGTCATTATCACGAGTTATGTCAGCCATAGTAACTTTGAGCATCGTCTTAATCTTGAAAATGCTGCGAAAATGCCCAGACGACCGGTTATCAAAAGTCGCATATGATCGCAAAATCTGTTTCTATAATGCATCTCACCAAAGTTAAGAACACGATTACACGATAATTGTCATCGCTTGATTCCTTAGATTGGCTGAAAAACAGTTGATCTATAAATAATCTCCTCTCAAGAACTCGCATAGTTGCTTCCTCGGCAGCTTAATGCGGTTCACATGTTGGAGGAGCTTTATGGTGGAAGGGGCAAAGAGCTACAAGCGTCAAGGATGAGCGTAGATGAGCGTTGCCGGGGAAAGTGAGAATTTTTTCACACAATCCACCCCCTCAGGCCTCTGGACAGGGCGGACGCTTGGGTTTTTTCCTCTGCTGCGGGCGTGAGGAAAAGAGTTCTGCACACAGCCGATGGGAAGTTTAGTTTGCCGGGAAAAGTTTCCTCAAGTCAGGATGACGGAGGTGTGCTTGGGATGAAGAGCGCGCGGGGGAGAGGTGTATTGGGGCATTCAGCAGCCCGGAATCTAAATTGTGATTTATGAACTTTCCCTGTACTCAACATATGCAAGGCGCGGGGGTGGGAAAAAAGGGAGCGCCCTGTCGACGAACTAATTTATATTCAAAATATATAAATCTTCAGCATCATTAACTTTATGCATAATTTATTTATGTACACACAAATACAGCTGAGGAGGCAAATAACAATTCATGTTGCCTAGAGAATGCGGAGAATATCTTTGCGAGAGAGCCGCCTATCTAAGAGTGAAGGAGCAAAAAATGCGTGTCGGTGTACTTTTGCAACTGACAGCATTATTATAAGGACGAGGAGGCAAATCGACTGCGCACTTTTTCTTATCCTCGGCCAGGATCACCTTCACTGACTCTCGGGGCTTTTCTCCGCATCCCCGCATGACAGGCTGTCGGGTGTGCAAGTGAAAGCCGTGCTAAGCGGAAAAGGAAACCAATTACACACGCTTTTGTCGATCGAGATATACTGTCGAAGAGAAATCTCATCAATCGCGCGGTTTTGCCACCCACACCGCAAAATGTATGCGTGCCGAATGAATTTCCAGGATCTGGAGAATAATAAATTCTTCCACTGGGTTTTTTTCGCCTCTCGCAGTTCCGCTTCCCCGGGAAATTGCCGGCAAGTGAGTCAGGAGGTGTTAATGCTTTCTTAAAACACCCCCGAGGCCATGCTTCCTCCTCGCCCAGATCCTCAGCGGTGTCTAACTTTGCGAGAGGCGAGAAATTTTGAGGGGAGTTCGTGAAATGTTATTTCCTCCCGCCAGTAATTGGAGCTTTTGTGCGATATTCACCTCTTTTGTGCTTTTTTTAACAACCGCTTCGAGTGGATTTTCATAGGAAATTCCGCCACATTGTCTGGGGCAAAGACACTACATTGATCGCTGGTGGGCTTCCTCTTGATAACATTTCATATGCCGCTCTGGCGCACGGCAGCTATTGTTACTGAACAAAGTATTAGTTTAACCGCCAAAGGCGCTCTCATCGCGCCGGATTGAGCATAGCAGAAGATGAACTTTCCTATGGATTTACTGCGCTGCACGAACACGCTAAGACCATGTAAAGTGTATAATCAGACTTCTTCGTGAGCTTGACATGCGGGGAGAAATACAATATTACTTCCTCAGCCAACGTCACAACAACTTAACCACACTTATCATCTAATTTTCCGCATTTTCCCCTTTGACTTTGCAAGATTATTTAAACAAATAGTCACAGTTCTTGGGAATTAAAGAGACTCCCATGAATCTTCGCTGCTCTTCTCTCCTTCTGCCGCCCCGAAAAACTTGGGCCAGGAAGAAGAAGCACTTGTGTGATCCCTTGATTTTCACTCCCGGTCCCAGGAAAGCAATTCTGGGCCCGAATAAATCCTCACCCACACCCGTGCCAGTCATTTGAGCTGGCGAGAAACAAGTTGCGGAGTGAAAGTTGGCCAATATGCACTCCAGCTCTCGGCTCTCATGTATGTGTAATGTTTAATGAATATGTTCGGTAATATGAGCCCCCAAGAATCCTGCCTGAGCCTGCCGAGGTGGCGAACGAGCTTCGTTATGGCACTTCTGGGGGGCTCTCGCCGCCCTCTGCCCTCCAGCAAATCCTCCACATCGTAATGTGTGTGTGTGTGAGAGTGTGTGCGGCATGAAAAGTTTAAATGTTTAGCTTAATAAATAGGGCACGTGAGAAATTAGAAAATGTAAAGTGGGTGCAATTGTGCCCTCCCGGAGATATTTTGAGGGTGGCTCTGGGATGTGCGCCACCCTCTGCCCCTAGTTTTCGGTGGTGATTTTCCTCACGGCGCACAGAAGTTTTCCACCCGAAAAGTGGGTGGGCGTCGGGTGGGTGATTATGTGAGAGAGGCGCTTTACCCCAAAACAATTCCCACCAAATAAAGTTTCGAATTTCTCCATTGTGTTCTTTGTTGTGCTTTTTCTCCCACAGTCATTTATATTAATTAATTTGAAAGATGCTATCTCTTTCACCACCCATTGTGGCCGCCTCAGACACTTCACGGCAGGGCTCTTCTTCGCTCCTGCATGGCAAAGGTGTGCGCCTGTGTTGTGTGTTCGCCAGGGAGGAGAATGTAAAGCATTGTGCGATGTGATTCTCATTCTATGCGGAAAAAGTGCCTCATTTTCACCCTCACCCCCAAAACCAGACAACAAGTGGATGAAGAGTGTTGTTTAATAAACAACTTCCGCCTCCCGTGGTGCTTTTAATCAATTAAATAAATACCTGCCCCCCTTCGCCAAAACCCTCCCAAGAATCAATTTCATCCCCTTACGCGGCATAAAACACTCCTGTGTGTGTGCCTGCACAATGATCACATGAAATTGCCAAAACAATTTTGGCTTTTACAACATGAAATTTTCTCTAAAACACGCCGGAAATGAAATATCGCTCCTCTTCATTGGTTTTCATGTCCATTTTTTACACCCCGCGAAATGATTTAGGCGCAGAGTTCGGCATTTTGTGTGATTAAAATCTCTTGCTGAACCACACCAAAGGCTCGCGCGCAAAATGAGTGGAATATTTTGCTCATTTTGCTGGGCTGTCAGTGATATTTTAATCAGGACGATATGGTGAAAAATCGGCATGAACTCACGAATGCGGCGAAAAACCGCAAAAATTCACACATGAAGAGCGGAGAGAGCTTTCAAATTAAAAGAACCCAGACCACTAGGGTGGAATACCACTGTTTTTTGACCTTGCACAAAGGGCAGAAGCCGAGCGCTGGGCAATAAATAAAATTG